TTAGTAAATGTTTCAGATGAATGTCCTTTTTACTGTAAGCAGAGTTTCAAAGAGTAAGTTGTACTAACAGGAAGAAATGCCTCTTCTGGATTTAATATTGTAAACACAAGTTTATCATAAAACCCTTATGATAACATGATAACAGAGTTTATAGAGAATCAAGCAAACGTAACTGGTGTAACAACTTTAGAGGGACAGCTGGATGCCTTTTAATAATAGCTGCATGCCTTCCTTTCCAAAGGGGCTTGAGGAACTTAACGTCTTCCTGCTGCTCTAGTTTTTCTTTTCAAATATAGCAGTGTATAAAATTTTCAAAGTCAAGTTGTGAGAAATATTTTAGAGGTTTTAAACAAAAGAAATAGTTCCTAAATATGATTTGGCTGTAGAAAATACCAAAAGTTAATAAAAAATAAAAATTATTTTTACCACTGTGATTTAGTTAAAAAGCTTATCTTATTCTTAATGCTGTAAAGTCTGATTAATTATAAAGGAAAAACATTGATAAAACCATATAAAGCAGTTGTCTTTGATACTTAAAGAAGGAAATGTTGATTAGTAAATCAGTCAAACCATAATGAATAAACTTAAAAAAAACTTTTACACAAAGATGTTCTGTGAATGTATAAAATCAGAGCTGTAAGTTGCTCTTATTAGAAACAGTGTTTATTATAAAAGTATCCAGTATGGCAACATTTATGGTATATGAAATCCATTAAAATGTTTACCTTAGAATTAAGTTTTTAATATAACCCATTATGTTTGTAGGCCCTTTGAACGGACGATTACCATGCATAAGGATAGCACTGGACATGTTGGTTTTATCTTTAAAAATGGAAAAATAACATCCATAGTGAAAGATAGCTCTGCAGCCAGAAATGGTCTTCTCACAGAACATAACATCTGTGAAATCAATGGACAGAATGTCATTGGATTGAAGGTAAGGAACAGACTTTGTGCCATGTTCTGCTGCAGTTTTAGAAAATGTCTGTCTTTTGACTGTATTTAGGTGGTGCTGTTTTCAGTGACTTAGGTGGGAGATGGGGAACGTGGGGCCTGGGTTCTTGCTCTAGCCAGTCACGGGAATTATTTGGGCTGTTATCTAGAACTACAGTTCCTATAACAAGGGGGGTGGAATCAATGATTTCAGAAGTACCTCACACTAGAATTCTGTGGAAATATGGGCAACAAAGATTTTTATGACATTCTAAATGAATAGTTGCCCAACATTTCTCAATCCAGGAATACAAGGAAATGAATAATAGTTTTGGTTCATATTAATACTTTATTTTTATAGTTTTTCTCCTCCACAAATTCCTAAATAAGTCTATCTTAAGGTCAAAAAGTTTTAAGCATGACCTCCTCATTTCGTAGACTTTGATTTAGAATACACAGTTAACTAAGAGGAGATGGTAGTATTGTATATGGGGAAAATTATTTAATATTCAGAAAGGAAAAGGGTTTTTTTTTGACTAAAATATTCAACTCAGTTTACTTAAGCAAACTGGTTACTAGCTGTAAAACAGTGTACAATTAAACTTGGTAAGAAATACTAGAAAAAAATTAGAAATACCAAGCAGGATTTTAGAGATCTTAACAAAACATAACAGGACATATATTTTGTATTTCTTTACCAAGACTGGCATAATTTTGTATTTATTAAATAAAGCCTCTGTGGAATTGATTTTTAATATGTGTTTTTATCAGGACTCTCAAATTGCAGACATACTATCAACATCTGGGACTGTAGTTACTATTACAATCATGCCTGCTTTTATCTTTGAACATATTATTAAGCGGTAAGTAAACAATTCCTCAACTTAATGCATATGGTCGTGTGACTTAATGTAAGCACTATAGTTTAATTCTCAGCCCTTTGGGTCTTTTACCTAAGGAATGAATACTGGTGTTTATCTAGAAATTTGAAGTAAGTTATTTAAGTCAGCGGGATTGGTAAGGATGAGCTCTTACAACTTCCCAAGTATGGAATAAAATCCACATATACTTTCCTCAGTTTTGATATTGCCTAGTAGAAGAAAAGAATGCAAGGAAAAGTGGGCATGCTTTTAGCTTTCAATTTGCAGTACAATTGACTGCAGTTGTACTGCCTACCACTCCTCTGCTCAGTATAAATATAGTTGTAGTGGTTCGTAATGGAGAATTCTTGCCAGTGGAATGCTAGGAGTAAGTTTCCCTTCTCTCCAGAATCTCAGGAAGCAGATAGACATGTGTGGTGTGTTGGTGCTATCTGTGCTCAGGAACTGAGGATTAGAAAGCCAAGTGATCAGAAATGAAAAGAGGCAACAAGGTTACTTCTATACAGCTTTTCATATCCTAGCATCTACCATAGCTGTTTTTGCCAAGCCAGCTTGGAATCCTTCTTTCAGAACCTCTATCATGCATGTGAAAATGAGATTTAAAAGATTCATAAACATAACCATTGTAATGAAATTTTTATGTTGGCTTCTGGATAGAATGCACCTCCCTACGCTTCGAGGGGGTAAAAAGGAGTTATTGTCATGACTAATTGTTCTAAAGTTCTCTTTTCTTAAATCACTGATGGATCCCTCTACCCCAACTCATCACAGCCTTGTCATTTTCTGTTTTTTAAAAATCACCAGGTTGGGCCGGGCGTGGTGGCTCAAGCCTGTAATCCCAGCACTTTGGGAGGCCGAGACGGGCAGATCACGAGGGTCAGGAGATCGAGACCATCCTGGCTAACAGTGAAACCCCGTCTCTACTAAAAAATACAAAAAACTAGCCGAGCGAGGTGGTGGGCGCCTGTAGTCCCAGCTACTCGGGAGGCTGAGGCAGGCGAATGGCGTGAACCCAGGAGGTGGAGCTTGCAGTGAGCTGAGATCCGGCCACTGCACTCCTCCAGCCTGGGCAAGAGAGCCAGACTCTGCCTCAAAAAAAAAAAAAAAAAAAAAAAAAATCACCAGGTTTAATGTACAAGAATTCATTTGTATCCTAACTTCTCTAGCCAAATACAGATAGCCTTTCCCACTGAGGGTCTGTCAACAACTAGATTACCAGAGATGCTTCTGGACTCATTTAAAAGATCTTTCCTTTCTCTCCATTCACATTTGATGCTAACAGGTGCTAAATTGGAATTGGGAATTTTCTTGGATTAACATAGCATTTTCAGGGGGGGCAGGGGAACAGAATCTCAGTATATAATAAAAGCACCTCTCTTGTAGGATGGCACCAAGCATCATGAAAAGCCTAATGGACCACACCATTCCTGAGGTGTAAAATTCACGGCACCATGGAAATGTAGCTGAACATCTCCAGTTTCCTCCTTTGGCAACTTCTGTATTATGCACATGAAGCTTTCCCGGAGCCAGCGAGCATATGCTGCATGAGGACCTTTCTATCTTACATTATGGCTGGGAATCTTACTATTTTCATCTGATACCTTGTTCAGATTTCAAAATAGTTGTAGCCTTATCCTGGTTTTACAGATGTGAAACTTTCAAGAGATTTACTGACTTTCCTAGAATAGTTTCTCTACTGGAAACCTGATGCTTTTATAAGCCATTGTGATTAGGATGACTGATACAGGCTTAGCTTTGTGTGAAAACCAGTCACCTTTCTCCTAGGTAATGAGTAGTGCTGTTCATATTACTTTAGTTCTATAGCATATTTGCATTTTTAACATGCTACCATAGTACATTTAGAACGACTGCCTTTGATTTTTTAAAAAAATTCTGTGTGTGTGTAAAATGCCAATTAAGAACACTGGTTTCATTCCATGTAAGCATTAAACAGTGTATGTAGGTTGCAAGAGATTGTGATGATTCTTAAATTTTAACTACCTTCATTTAATATGCTTAAACTGTCGCCTTAACTATGTTAAGCATCTAGACTAAAAGCCAAAATATAATTATTGCTGCCTTTCTAAAACCCAAAATGTAGTTCTCTATTAACCTGAAATGTACACTAGCCCAGAACAGTTTAATGGTACTTACCGAGCTATAGCATAGCTGCTTAGTTGTTTTTGAGATTTTTTAGTCAATGCATAATGGAAACTTCTTTCTTTTAAAAGTTGCCAGTACCACTTTGTGCGAAGTGAATCACTATATATTTAATGTAAAAATTATTACACTAAACAGGATAAACTTTTGACTCCTCTTTTGTTCATTTGTGGATTAAGTGGTATAATACTTAATTTTGGCATTTGACTCTTAAGATTATGTAACCTAGCTACTTTGGGATGGTCTTAGAATATTTTTCTGGTAACTTGTTCCATTTCCTGACTCCTTGCAAACAAAATGATAGTGACATTTTATCCTGACTTTTTTCTTCTTTTTGGTTTATGTCTATTCTAATTAAATATGTATACATAAAGTTACATTTTAGTCTGTCGGTTACTGCATCATTTGCTTTCACCAAACTTATGCATGATCTAGAAGATAGGCAGGTGGAATTCACTTTCAGCTATGGGAGACATCATTTCCCAGAACAAGCTGACATTCAGGGGCCCTAAGAACAGCTCACAGTGCTGAGACTGAGTGTCAGGAAAATTGCTTCCAGCTGGGAACCCCAGATTACCAGGGCCAAGAGAGCTGGTTCACCCCTGCCATGCAGCAGGAACTCATTGAGGCTACTGACTGTCCCTAGCAGTACCTGAGACCAGATAATACTTAATAACACTTGAAACTGACTTTGAAAATTCTATTAGTGTGGTCTGACTCAAGTTTTTTCTCCTATATCATACTACTTGTAAGATACAACAGTGTTTTTAAAGAGTACAGAAACAATAAGTCGCACAATTAACCATGGTTCAGAGGTTGAATATAAAAATCTGCTACTGCTATACAGCTTACCTTGTTTGAAATTTAGAAGCGAAAAAAATACTGGATTATCTACCTGAGTCTGAAGATAATTTCAAAAGTAATGGAATTACATTCATATCACTAAATATGGTTTTCTAGAAGATGATTCTAGATCTATGGTCTTAAAAACACTAGTCTTAAGTTACTTAAATAAAATGAAAACAGTTTAGAGAAAAATATTTTTAATGTAGAAAAGATGAATAGCTATAATGAAATACAAACCGTTCCTATACACAGTAAACTTACTGTTATAAGAACTGCTAATCCTCCAGGTTCTTAGAATCTGGGTACAGCATTATAGAAAGTAACCACTCTATGAAAACATACACCCAAAACCCGATGGGTAGCAATTGTGATAGATTAGGAAGACAAAACAGATTCAGAAGTAGCAGAGAATACTGCACATTTTCTTGGAAAATTCTTAATTGTTCAGTGCTTTCTGACAAGTTTCCCTAGCCCAATTTATCTCTTAGCTGTTCTCTGCTACCCAGTCCTGTCTTCTGACAATCATCATACAGGGATGATCATCTGCCTTACAATGTAACATGTTTTCCCTAGCACTGCCACATTTTATCTGCCTTAAGAGAATGGCAACTAATGGCTTTCAACAAAGTCACCATGATTTAGAAAGTTTAAAACCACAAATTTTCCATGTGGTAAAACTTCTAATTACTAGCATTGCACATTCACCAGTCCGTTTAAAAGTTTGGTTTACAAATGCATTAAATAGAGTTCAACTTAATATTCAGGAGAGGAAAAGGCACTTAATACTGCAATTTCCAGAAAATAATTTGTCTGTCTTCCCCGCCTGTGATGATACTGCTACACTGTTCATTCATCCATATACATGTCACAGCACCTGAGACAAAGAGACATTTTGGTTAGGTAGGAAGTTGACCAGGAGGCACCCAAAGATAAACTTTACTCTGGTGCTTACTCTTGCTTTGCTATTATTCATTTATTAAACAAGTGAAGTAAGTTCTATTTTTTTCTTGTCTTCTTCCTATAATAAAATCCTTGAATAAATTAAAAATAATTGCTTGGTACAAAGATCTCGTGAGGAATAATAAACCATTTAAGTGTAAATCTAAAGCCAAAACAACTGGAAATTATGGATATAGCACAGAATGCAAATAAATACCTTGGCAAAGTATAATACAGGTATAACATGAGAAAAGTTAGGAGACAGATGTGAAGGAAAAGGTAGGGAATTGGTGTAAGGTTATTGGTTTATTTCCTCTTCCACTGGAAGGGGTCAAATGACATTAAAGTTTCTAAGTAGAGAACTAAAGTCACAAATAATTTCATTTTTTTGAAACAGTCTCGCTTTTGCTCTTACCCAGGCTGGAGTACAGTGGCATGATCAAGCTCACTGCAGCCTCTATCTCCTGGGCTCAAGCTATCCTCCCGTCTTAGCCTCTTAAGTAGCTGGGACCACAGGCATGTGCTACCACACTTGTCTAATATTTCTGATTTTTAGTAGAGATGAGGTTTTGCTATGTTGCCAAGGTTGGTCTCAAACTCTTGACCTCAAGCAGTCCTCCCACCTTGGCTTCCCAAAGTGCTGGCATTACAGGCCTGAGCCACTGAGCCTGCCCCAGAATTTTTAAGGTGTACATTTAAGAAGAAATAACCATATGAAGTTGTGACACAGGGAAGAGAATGAAGGTAGGAAGTTACTGCTTACAGTGGGAAGTCAAGGGGTAACAGGAGACACTAAAAGAATTAAAAACCAAGTCCTCCAAATGATCAGAAAGCAAGAATTTGTAAGCAATCGAGTGAATCTCCAAGAAATATTACTAAATGAAAAAAAAGGCCGGAAAAGTTTAATAATATACTTCACATAAACAATTTTATACACATATACCCTCTCTTATTCACAGGACACACACTGATAAAGTACTGTAAGGAGGACTGGGAGGTAGAAGTCAGCGGTAGAAAGAAGCCTTAATTTTCATCGTAGTTCCTTTTGTATTGTTTCTGGGTTTCTTCTTTTTTTTTTTTTTTTTTGAGACGGAGTCTCGCTTTGTCGCCCAGGCTGGAGTGCAGTGGCCGGATCTCAGCTCACTGCAAGCTCCGCCTCCCGGGTTTATGCCATTCTCCTGCCTCA